TTTAGTGTTGTTTTCAAATTATTTATAATTCTATAAAACTTTTACTAAATTGTATTATAAGTCAAAGTCACATAAAACTGTAGTTATTCTTGAATTTCATACGAAATACTTATTTTTATGACAAATACTGTATTTAAAAAGCAATAATAAAAGTTTAGAAAAACCCAAATTTGGCTCCAAATGATTTGCAAGTATTTGAATCATTAGATTAGTTGTCATTAGACTAATGAAGTGGAAGTTTATAATCATTTGTAATACTCGTGTATAATATAAAAGTGAATAAAAGTGATAAACTCTACTCAAACTGTAAAACAAATTGAAAAGTTAGTGTAATATTGAAGCAAAAGGGTGTCTGCAGTGAGCGCCTACTAGTGGTGAGAGTGTGTCAGTAATACTGTCTGTGAATGCATTGAATCTATGGTGTGTTGAAGAGTCGACCAAAATGTTAGGTATTTATCGGAAAGCGTGTAAATCACTGATCCTGGGCTCCAAACCACTGGTGTCTGTGGCCACACAATCACCACATAAACTCATTCCAGTGATATCTGCCGCAAGTGAGTAGCCATTGATGATTAAAACCCCGGTTAAAGCCGATTAACTGCCGGCCCTCTCACACATAGACTCCATTTGTATCGCTTATGCACTTGTATTACATTTTTTTGTTCAACACTTAGCATTGATTTGTACGACAAATGTCTACAAAACATGTCTAACTTGTGATCCGAAGGACACTAAAAGGACATGAATTTATGATTTAATTGATTTGTTTCTCATTTGTATGACATCTTCACACAAATCTTAAGCTAATTATCAGTTGATTTGATTTCACAAATGCATGATTTAATGCAAACCATGGCGTGAATGGACACAATACTGTTATCTATAAATAGCACCCATTATTGCCATACATTGCCATTGATATGAATATTGAGTTCTTGAGATGAGATCTAATCTAATATGACATGGATTTGAATGCAATGAACAGATCAGAAGCGATGGGCCGCCACTCAGCCCAAGACGGCCAGTACTGTGAAGAACGG